TCTCTCTCTCTCTCTCTCTCTCTCTCTCTCTCTCTCTCTCTCTCTCTCTCTCTCTCTCTCTCTCGAGCTCGGTTGCACCAGCGACTCTTACTTGATTAACGCTGCTACTCAGCGATCTCTAGTTTCTCTCCCGACACCACCGTTGTAACATGGAAAATCTTTTCTCGATCCGATACGTATACGAAAAAGAAATAAAAAAAGGGGGGGAGGAGAAAATTTGTCTTGCGACAACTGCTTCTTAAACTCTTGGGAAAAAATGCGCGCAGCGGTACGTCTTCCATTCCGAAAAATGTAGAATAAAAATCTGAAATCGCTATATTCCGACCGAGATCTGCAATTTAAATTTACGGAATTCTACGAGAGAGAGAGCTTGTAATTTAATGTTAAGCGTGTACGTGTATTGGATTCGTGGACCGAAATCGATCGGTAATAGTACGTACTGTTGGTTTACGCACAGATAATTATGATTAATATTAAACGATGTTGGTTGCAATCGGAGGATAACCGCAGCCGGCCACTTCTTCTCGCTTCTCGCGACGAGACAAAATCGCTTCGTGATTACGGATACACGTTGTTGAATTAACGAGCGATAGCGACGCTCCATTAAGCATAAATAACAAAAAAAGACTTTTTTACGTGTTTCCCGTGCGAGAATGCGGTCGTCGCTAATTGAACGATTAATCGATCACCGCGAATTATGCGTGTGAATAGCACCGAGCCGGTTAAAAGCGTGAAATTTTCAATTAACATAGGATACTCGGATGGTCTTCTGACGAGAAGACCAATTTCAATAAATGATTGGCGTCCAATCATTTGAATGTAATAGACTAATTTATATCCCGATACATTCATGCTTTATATTAAATATAGGCATGAGTAATAAAGAAAGTAATAAAAGTAATAAAGCACAAGTAATAAAAGAAAATACACGTTTCTCGTGCAATTTTTTTCCTCAAAGGATTTTTTTAATCGCAAAAAACTGAGTTATATAACAAATTGCATATTGAAAATACGACGAATTTAACGGCTGATACATATTTTATTACAGTCTATTACATTACGGAAAGATTCTCTCTCGTTTGGAGATAATATAAAATAAAATTAAACCAAAAATATATATATTTAAATAAAATCATCTCGAATTGAAAGAGAAACTTCAACATCTATAAGTTTTTCAGATAATTTTCCATTTTTATATGAGATTATCCGATTCTTCCGTTTTTTTAGTATTCTTCCTGCGCGATAACTCCGCGTCATTTTCCAAGAAGCTATTAATTTAGATTAGACATTATTCTTTGTGGAAGGCAAATTGTTGAGATGAACAAAGAGCCGAGTCACGATAAGGCGGAGGAAAAGCTATCCAAGTGACCCGAAACACGCGTAATATCGCAAAGGGTAATGAACACAGAGTTCTCGTACTAATTACGCTCGCGAGGCGCAACCGCGGAATTATACACGGATGGTTATATAAAACCATTAATTCTTATCCGCGCGCGTGCTTCCGTCTCTCTCTCTCTCTCTCTCTCTGTCTATTCTTTCGTCGTTTTTTAATACGCGCGCTATTCGCGGCACCGTGAAACTCGCGGGAGAGAAAGGAAGAGGGAAGAAAAGATTATCCCGTCCTTAAGAGGCGGCTTAAAGTCGTTACGTTAACTAATAACGCGGAACGTTTTCGGGCCAGGCCTCGCGAATCCGGTTTTCTATCTCAAATATAACGTAGGTGTAAAAATTTAAAACGCCCCAGCTCTCTCGCGCTTGGATTTTTCGAGACGGATAAGGATGAAGAAAGATAGAAATGACAGAAACTCGTTCGTTCAAAAATACGAGACGGGATAAATAATTATCATTTTCTATATTCGAAGAACAGATCTGCTCTGGGATTCTCGAATCTATATACCGCATATAAGATATATAACACAGACTATAGGATCTTCGCTTGCGATATTTTTTGAAAATAATTAAATATTACAATGGACACAAAAGTATTAAATATAACTATATTTTATACTTATTTATGTCCACTAATCCGCGTTTAATTTTTCGAATTTTTATTTCTAAAATTTAATATTTATTCCCGTTCCTAATATTTTCTTGATTGTGCGCAGGGCCCTAAGACTTCTCTCATCATTATTGAGTTTAAATATTTCGCATGCAGCTTGTGAGTCTTCTCGCGAACAATGTGCAACTATCATTTAGATCATTTTGCATCAAGCAACTGTGTTGCCTTGTGCCTCGTGTGTCGCGGACGAATCCGAGTCTACGCAAATAAATCGTACGCATATTTGCGATGTATGGCAGCGTGACGTAATGCCGCAAAATCGCGCGTATTGCTATCGGAATTTGTTTATTTTTCATGTTAACTTAAGAGACATAGCGACATCGCGTCGCGAGGTCGACACGCGAAAAGAAGATTCTCCTCTCTGCGCAACCTAACCTTGTTGAGAATAACGTTTGTTTCATGCATTAGCGAGCATTGGCTCGCTAACTCAATTTTCCGCAGTTAAAACATTCTTGGCTCGTTATGTGGTATTATTAACGTTATATGATATTATTTACGAAACTCGATAAGACGTTAAAAAAATTCATCCGAATAAAGGTTAGAGGTTGTCAATTTGTGACAGGATTCTAATATTTTGCACGCGATTAATGAGAAAAATATATATATGAGATTGGCGTGTAAATCCTTCAGGCGTAGTCGTATAGTACAAACAATTCACCTTGCAGTCAGACGAAACCACTCGATTAACAAAATCACTCAAGCGTTAGCACTATTATCACAGCTTACTGTAATCACCACCGTGATAGAAGCGAGAAAATTCCAGATATCCGTGCGAGAAGTCGTGGTACCGCCGCGCGTCAACGGCACGCTATTTTTACGGAGCACTTCGACGGCCAGCGCACTTTTCCGATATTCCTTCCTCGCCACAAGCTCCAACGTCACGACGCGGCAGATCACATTATCGCTGATAGAGAGTTCGGGCGTGATCGCCGATCTTCGCGAGAGTCCAAAGGCCCGGCACGGAGAGCGCGAAGTGTCGAAAGCCACCGGGGCACCGGAAAGAAGAAGGGAAAAAAATTGCTCGACGCGGCGCGATCCGGCACGATATTATGGCGCGGCGCGGCGCGGCGTGGCGTGGCGTGGCGTATGTGGTGTGGTACGGTGCGGCGTGGCGCACGATGCACGCACTCGTGACATGCGGTGACGCACACGCAAAGCGTCACTGAGATACGGCGCGCGCGCTCCTCTCGTTCGGTTCCGACGCGGCTCGGCTCGACTCGGCTCGGCTCGATTCGGCTATCCTCCTCGCTGACTCCGAGCGCGCGAGCGTCGCTCCGGCTCCGTCCGGTTGAGGCGGAGACGGAGCGCGAAAAGCGGCGGCTCTCTCGCGCGTACGAGGACGACGATAACCGGACTGCCGCGCTCGCTCGCGCGCGGGAGACCGGCGAAAGCGGAGTCGCAGCCGGCGTTCGTGACTCATGAGCCAGCCAGCCAGCCAGCCAGCCGGCGCGCGTACGACCGTCCGGAGCGCCTACTGCCGTAGGACGAGCTCGCTCGAGGTGCAAGTGCCGATAGCAGCAGGGCCGTTCGCTTCACCGACAATGCCCGCGACTTGTAAAATATGTCATGATTAATACGTGCTGTATTTTTCGGAATTTTAAAATTGAGAATTTGAGAACGGCAAGGCATTTGATGACAAATGCTTATTTTTACCGATATAAATTAATTTTAATCTCGCAAGTATTTTTCCTTGTGTTTTTGTATATAATTGTATAATTTTTTTCTCGTTTGGAGAAATGTTGCGATGTTAATATATTTCATTCAATTTTAAATCACTCAGGATAACCATGTGATACGAGTCAAAATAATCTTTTCTAGATTTTTTTTAAAGGCAAAAATGGATTCTCGACTATGTCATTATTGTCCTCGTGTCTTGCATGCTTTGTGACATATACTTATTTCCAGCAATCTCCAGAAAATTTGGCATGGAATAGAAATAACTACATACATACTTTCAACGTAATTTCCGAACTTTCTGGACTTTATAATCTTGTATATATATCGTTTATGATCAATTAGTTGAATACCTCATATAGTTCTGAATTTTAAAATATAAATTCATAAACACGATCGTCTCAGCAGAATGAGATATCCGTTTTTGCAGCACCGAAGTAAATCCACGTGTGCAAGCAGAAATAGAAGATAAGTAAAAAATAATTGCAGATTTAATCAAGTACTTTTTTTGCGCCCGCGCTCTTTTTTCTTCACATCAGAAAAACTAATCACCTCGCGCGAATCTGATCTTTCCAATCAATTCGAGGCTGCGAAAAATCGCGCGTGACAGATTCGATTCGCGAATTGATAGAAGAGTCAGTGAGAGAGACGGCAAGGAGAAACACGTTGTCGCGATAGAAATCGTTCGCCGCGAGCGAGTTTCCGTGGACTTACACAATCGCTCGCTTACCGACTTCGGGCCCGATGTCTCGCGGAAGACTGATCGCCCAAGGAGCTGGAAACTCTCCGGGCCCCGTTCGCCAGGGTTATCCAGAGTTGCGCCGCGATCGCGACCTTCGTGCTCTCCGCCGGAATCGATCGATCGGAACGGGAGCCGATCGCGAAACGAATTTCACCGATCCACGGATACGAGTGAGATAAAAGAATAATTGCGACACGATTTCGCGGTTTCACGTTGCCCCCCCGCGCTGCTTTATCGGTCAATCTTAACGGCGAATCTTCGATTCCGAACGATTGTTAGCCGCGAATATTCGCGTGAAGCGCAGTCTCGGAAAGTTGTAAGATAATTCCCGAAGTGAATTTGGGAACTCTTGGCGCGTGAATATCAGATTCGATATATACGTATGTATATATAGGCTGGAATTAGCTCCGGAAAGCAAATGAAGCGAAATGTATTAGTACTTCTAATTATAAAAGGATGTTTTAAAAAAGAACAGACTTAAATGGATTCTTTCATTCTTTATTGAAATGTTCTCGATTTGGATCGTTTCGGATTGTGTAAATTTTTAGTAAGTTTGAAAGTTTCTGCTGATCCGATAAATGTTCAATGTGATGTGAAATATAAATGATGATCGAATGCGAGACGAATTAGTTTTAAGAACAGAAACCGTTAGGAGCAAGCAAGTGTAACCAGTCATTGGTATCGACGTATTTCTTTCAGCTCTGCTGTTACGCTCAAAAAAGTACAAAGAAAGAAATAACGTTTATCCTCTTGACTTATTGACACTACGATCCGATTAACTTCTTGTAGACGATTGAATATAACTTTGAAAACATAAAAACATGGATTTTAAAAAAGAAATTCTGTTCACGGAGTTTTCAAGGAAAAATATCTTTTTTCGTAAAAAAAATGATTGAATGAAAAATGATTAAAAATGATTGAAAAATATCTTCAATAATCTTCGACAATGAATGTATTTAATAATCATAATTTACATAAAATTTTGATTGAAAATAGTAGAGAACGTTTTAGTATGATACAAAAAGATGATAGAACTCAACATATCATTCATTCGATGTAATATCGGATATGATAAAAATTTAAAGCGACAAGGAGCGAGCAGAGTTTTATCTGATAAAAAGTTGCAAACGAAGATTCATTCACCGATGAAAATTATTCAACATTCGCCGGCGCAAATTTTTGTCAATAAGACAATTAAGAGAGAGAGAGAGAGAGAGAGAGAGAGAGAGAGAGAGAGAAGAGAGAGAGAGAGAATGCCAAGCACTCTATCATTTTATTGCGCGTATATAAAATCAAGGAACTTAATTTTAGCAGCGTCCAATCTCTTCCTTTGGATAGTAGTTTCGCGGATAAATAAATAAAATTGCCGGCAATCTGAAAACTTGACTCGCTGAACTGTTGAAAAGATAGAGAGCGGCGGAAGCGTACGGTTACAAAGATTATCGGTTATCCCTGCTTTTTATTGCCCTTTCCGGGTGGTGGGCCACCCGTGGTATGCACGCTGATTAGCTCTCGAAGTGCATTCCTCCCGTCTCGAAAAAGATACAAAACGCGGAGAATTAACGCAGTGTCTTCGATCTGGAAATAATTTTCTATAACATGTAACCAATCACGATCTATATTTTTCTACTTTCTCCATTTTATTTTCCATTACCTCTATATATGTTTATTTAAAAGCGTAGATAAATGAAATCATAGTCATAGAAAGACGGGTCTGGAATTTTCTTTAAATTTATTTCACAGGGGATTAAAAACTTTCAATATTATTTTAACATTACTTTTATTTGCGAATATTAATTACGCGAATATTAATTATTATTAATATTAATTAATTCGTTGGCAAATAGAAATTTGAAGCTGCCCGGTGCTTACTTCTTCTGCAAGCGTTTTTTATCGGGGTCACCGTGACTAAGGTTGAAATAATTGGAGCGCGAAACCCATATTTCTCCAACCATTGATACCGCATTTTAAAGACACGACACGAGAAAAACCGGTACAACTTTGTCAAATAATTATATCCTTCGGTGAAATATTTTAGA